TGACTCAAATAATATATCTTAATGAAAGGATGACTCAAATAAGATATCTTAAAGAAAGGATGACTCAAATACATCAAAAAGGATGACTCAAATAAGATTTGGATGACTCAAATACATCAAAAAGGATGACTCAAATACATCTTAATGAAAGGATGACTCAAATACATCAAAAAGGATGACTCAAATAAGATATCTTAAAGATGACTCAAATAAGATATCTTAATGAAAGGATGACTCAAATACATCAAAAAGGATGACTCAAATAAGATTTCTTAATGAAAGGATGACTCAAATAAGATTTCTTAATGAAAGGATGACTCAAATAAGATTTCTTAATGAAAGGATGACTCCCATGTAAATCATTTGCATAATAATTTAATCCACCCTCAAACCGTTCTTCCAGAATGACTCAACATAGCTTCAGTTTGGTACATTAATACGACTGGATGTTTTATGAAGTAATTAATATTCAGTATCTTGCCACAGGGCACAAAGGCTGTGGTTTCTTCAGAGAATTGAGCCTCTGACTTTGTACTTGTAATTACTTCAAACCAGCATCACATGTCTTGTAACGTTAGTATGCTTAACACATTGTAAATATATATATATATATAAAACTGTTAACATCCAGATGACAAGAAAAAAAATTAAAATTATATATATAAACTGCTCCTAACATTCTGCTGAAAATCTAGACTAATCAAATAAAATATCTTAATGAAAGGTTGACTCAAATAATATATCTTAATGAAAGGATGACTCAAATAAGATATCTTAATGAAAAGATGACTCAAATAAGATGACTCAAATAAGATATCTTAATGAAAGGATGACTCAAATAAGATATCTTAATGAAAGGATGACTCAAATAAGATATCTTAAAGAAAGGATGACTCAAGTAAGATTTCTTAATGAAAGGATGACTAAAGTAAGATTTCTTAATGAAAGGATGACTCAAATAAGATATCTTAAAGAAAGGATGACTCAAGTAAGATTTCTTAAAATATCTTCATTCAATTTCTTAAATAAATATGGAGCACCCATCAGCACCCCTGGGGTAACCATTAGCCTTTTGCTAGGTATTCAGCTTTTCGTGGTCACATGGTAATATGTTATATTCAAAAGCCCGGATCTAAACGATCCAAGAAAACCTCACAATTAAAAAAACTGAATGTCACTGAACAAATAAATAAAAATGCAAACAGAGTGTTAATATATAATTTGTGTGCATGTGCAAAATCTTTCACTGAGGATGACACAGGATAATATAAATACGGCAAATACAAATAAAACACCAGTGAAATATTTATCAGAAAAAATCTAATTATTAATTATTATTATTATTATTAAACATTATTATAGTGTTGTCAAGTCAAATCCAAATCCTGACAGTACTCCAGCATATTGTTTAGACTAGTTCTTCACAAGATGGCCCACTTCCTGGTGCCAGGCAGCCAATCAGAACACTAATAGACTAATCATAATAGAGAGGAGTCTCTCTTTCCCCGAAATGCGGATTGTTACGGTATTTACAGTACTAAGCCATGCAATATAGGCAAGAAATTCACACAGTTACAGGTACAGGACAACTGAGAGGACAAAGCAAACTCTCATTCCCTCATTGGCATCATCAATGTGCGATAATCAGCGAAGCAGACCATCGTCACTGGCCATGCCTGGCACTGTTTATTCAGAGCAAGAAAGCTCTCAGAAAAGCTTCACGCAGATGATGCTCCTGCCCTCCGTGGCATCATGCTGACAGACCAAAGTGCTGCCCATAAAGTCGGAATACTGTAACTGTTACGCTTCATTTGATGCAGAGGTGGCAATTTCAGGTCCAGAAAGTAAAAATCCAGACCATGATTTTGTTTCAACCAACCAGTTGAGTACTCTGTGACTGTGACTCTTTATGCTGAACTGGTTGGTTGAAAGTAAATCATAGTCTGGATTTTTACTTTCTGGACCTGAAATTGCCACCTCTGATTCGGTGTATGATTATGTATATGTGGACAGGTTCAGCTCTTACGGCAAGTGAGAGGTCTTCTTCTGCGCAGGGTCTACCAGCCGCAGAGTGTCCCGGATAACCCCCACCTTCACTTCCTCGTCCACTGGACTAGGCACGTACTCAAACACACCCGGAGAGACCTGCAACATAGACATCGGTGGCCTCTTTCTGTCAACATTCGCCACAGAAAATGCATCATGGTGCTACCAGAGCAGAATAAAGAATAAAGGAATTAAAAATCAAAAATAACCTATAGAAATATACACAACTTGACTTTGAAGAACTTCTAACAGAAAAAAAACATTTTAAGCTGCAGTTATATAAAACAATACAAATAGAAAGAGCACATGAAAATCTAAAAGAGAATTATCAATAACACCTCAGATGTCTAATCCCAAAATATAATTTTATGGTTGATTAAATTGTTTGTGGGACCCCTTATTGCACGCGTCAACAGAAGCCCAGTCTTATTTTCTTACTAGTATTTACTGAGGTGTATTTTTTTTCTTAACCAAACACATTAAACAAACATCACAATCAAATAAATATCTCAAGGTAAAAGAAAAGTTGTTAAAAAGTGCCGCTTATCTTGAACACGGCTTTGACTCACTTCCTGCTCGTGCTCGATTCTCATACTTGGGTTGGCGTTGACCTCCAGTAAGACAGGCTTCAAGTTCTTCATCAGCAGGATGTCAAAACCTAGGATCTATTGTATCAAAATGGAAATACTTTCGATGCAAATTAAACACAGCATGTGATAGATGTTTTATGAATAAAAGGTGTGCAATATTTTACATAATTCATCATTTCATATCATTCCATGCCCCATATCTGCATAACATAAAAATTACGTGCCACAGGAGTTACGATAAAATCATTTACCACTAAAGCAGGAAATATTTTTCATTCCTATTCATCTTTGAAGCCAATACACTTAAAGTATTCTTCCCTTAGGGAGCAAAACAAAATATACTGATATAACTGGAGACCATCTGTTTTATACCAAAGTTTCATAAGAATAGATTCAGTTCAGTTTTTTATTTTTTATTTTACTACACAGTTCCATAGACAACATAAAATGACTGAAAATGAAGTTTCTCATCTAATGACTATTTGTTGACAATTCAGTACCTGAAAACAGGTAGGTCCAGGTTTTCCAGGTGGAATGTCTGCCTGGTAGTAGACCTTGAGCTCAGGCACCAGTGCGATGACAGTCTTAATGACCAGGGATATGATGTCTGACCAAACCTTCTTGATGTCCACGCCCTTGGAAGCCAGGCGGTACAGTATGCTAGAGAAGGTACGTTTGCTGCCGGTACTGTTGCTGTGAGAGTGGATGAAGTTGCCACTGTGCACATTGAGGGAGTAGTTTGTCAGGTGCATGAACACGTGGTTGAGGTTCTTCTGGTTGGGCTCCTGGTATGGCTCTGTGCAGAAGCGAGACAAGCCCTCCTTGGCAATGTAGATCTCCAGGGGCTCCAAGGACCTGAGCAGGACGTAAAGGCGGATGTCGAACTTGAGCTTGTCGATCAGTAGCGGTTTCTGGATGTACTCCTGCACGATCACGTGTTTGCCATGCGGGCTGGCTGTGATCCGCAAATCCCTGGGATCCCGAATGAGGTAGATCCCATCTCCCTGGGAGCCGCCGTCTGGCTTGACGATGAACGTGGGATTTAAGGCGGAGTCGCTGTCTTTGGCCAAGCGGATCTGTAATGGATGAAGATCCAGATTTTACCAGGACAGATGAATTGGCACATGCTCAATTTGTAGAACGTTATTATGCTACTCTAAACTGACGGGAGGCCTCTTTTACAATCAGGATAATCATTAATAAAATAAATAATTTGCTGCATCAAACAAAACATTTTATCATCAAAATAACATAATGCATGATTGCCATGCTAACAACAACATAACATTGCTTTGACTTAAAAATGAATAGACTGAATGAGGTTTTTCCAAATGCTGGTACTTGAGAGTGAAAAAGTTTGCGTAAATAATCTTCCTCCGTCACTCTCGAGGTCTAACCCAGTGACAAAAAAGCCAGGTACTGACCACTTCATCAAACAATACATTGTAGTTGCAGATTAAAAAAAGAAGGAATAATTTTTTCATTCCGAATAAAACACATTACAGTCATGGGCCTTGAATACCGAGGACAAAATCAGATAAATGCAACGTCATGCCCAGATCACTGACAACACCTTTACAAAAAAATCATTCCTCGTGATTTCTACTCCACATACCTAAATCTGAGGCTACTATACCAACACACAATAACCTGACAATGACCTAAAGCTCAGAAAGGGCGACAATTTTGCTGCAAAACTGAGAAATTCGATTGCAGCAGCCACTTATTTCCGAACATGTTCCATATAAAAATTATTCACAGAAATTAGACAGAAAGGCAATGCTTGCTCTTTGTAAAACACCAGTAGCTAAGGTATTAAGGTTTATTTTTAAGAGCTAAGGGACCTGCTCATTGTTTGCTAATAATTTTTATAAAAAGCTACTGTGGCAGCACCTAACAATTTACTACCTACTAAATAGCTCAGCCATTAAAAACTGAAAAACTTTTCAGCGTTAAAAACTTTTCAGCAGCTAGATGTATATTTTTTAAAATGCCTGAACTTTATATATAATTATTCTGGTAAATCCGGTGGTAGCAAATTGCATATGACACTCCAGATATAATAGTTACTTGATGAAATACAAAAGTCAAAATACATTTCAGGCAAATGGATGACTGTATTGTGTGATCGTATGAATGAATAAAAGTATGTTTGTCAATAAATATCCAGTGATGTACTGATATTAGATGCACTGTACAGTGTACTTTTTGGAAAACCCAAAATTTTAAACTCACTCATCCTTCCAGTTCAATATATACAAAAGGATGGAAAGTCATGTGTACAAGTTTCATTGTATTTCATGGGAAGCCGGGGCATACGCCCTCAGTGGCCACTTTGTGAAGTACACCTAATCACACAGCCTGCTCATCCAATCAGCATCCAGCCAGCCTAGTGATTTAAAACTTCTTGTGATATCTGGTGCCATACATGGTGGTTCCATCACCTCAGCAACAGCCTCCCTGCTAGGATTATCGTGCATAACAGCGTCTACACATTACAGAGAACTGTGCAATCAACAAAAAACATCCAGTCAGCAGCAGCTGTATTTTTGTTGTGAAAAACTCCTTGTTAATGAGGGAGATGAGAGGAGGATGGCCAGGTTTGTTTGAACTCAAAGGAAAACCACAGCGGCAGATATAACGCAGTACTCAACATGATAGGGGTGTGTGGAGAGGAATCTCTGAAGGGACAGGATGTAGATCTGCAGACAAAGGGGGATCATAGCTGGTGCTGCATGGAAGGTACCTAATAAAGTGGTCAAGGAATGTATGACACACGTCTATAGTTCTCTTTCTTAGAAAAGAAAGAGTGAGACAAATTAGTGCCAGATCATTAACCAAAAGCAAACAAAGCAGCAAAGTGAAAGTGAATGTGTCCCTGAAGAAATTGTGGTTTATTTAAGGTGAAAATTGTCTAGAAAGGTTATGTTCTTTTTTCTCAAATAACTTACTTATACAATGTATAACTATATGTAAGAGGTCTGTTTCAATATCCTATACTTAACAGTGGAAATGTTTTATTGATTATACATCTTCAATGTTTAAACATGAGACACTAAGGCTCCAGGGCCTGATCAGCGCGAACAGCTGCAAGAGGGATGCAGAGATGGGCAGATAATGAAGGTAGCTACTCAAGCAGATAAATACGGTGATAAAAATCAAACTAATCTGTCGTCCCAGAGGTGGTAAACAAGGCTCTACCCAGTCATAACAAATTGACGGGGGGTAACCACATGTTAGTGCTCCCAAGAAGTGACGCATGTTCAGGAGGAGCACAAAAATCAGGCCTCATCTTACTCAGGAGGCAATAATCCTGCAGGGCTCCCTGACGGACGGTCTGCCACACGGCATTGTGTTCCACCCGCACCTGAGCGGCTGGTCCGTCGTACAGCAGCATTCCATGGAGGAGATCACAGAGCAGCACCATGTGAGGACACTGCAGGCTTGGCACAGAGGAACAGGAAATGGAAGGCTATCACTTTGCTGGCATGTTCAGTGAACCACTATGTATTTGGGACTGGGTTGCCAGGAAACTGGAGGAGTTCAGATTTAAAAACAAGGGCACAAAGGCATGTGTTGGGCTGTGTTACAAAAAAAAAACCACAATATCACTCATAAGTTTAAACACAAAAAACACTTTCACTCCAAACTCAAAGAGTGCAGACACAAGTCAGCTACAATGAGCAATACAAACACACATTAGAAACAAATGTTTTAAATATGAAAAGCCCAAGAGTTCAATTAAGCAGCGTAAGACAACTAAGTAGCATTCTAATACCGTTTACTAATATTTGCTAAAATTTAAATATTATAAATTAATGATTGATTTGAATGTTTACTTTATTCCATAAAACATTACTCAAGAGTTAAAATTTAATCGATGTAAAAACACAGCAATGCCTCTTTGCTGCCATCTGCAGCACTCAGAGCTAAAATACATTTGAGCTGATTTTTGGAGCTCAACCACAAGTGAATTGTAACTGAGCAATGTAGCAATTTGACCAGGGCTAGGAGATAGGAGGCTTCAAAAGCAGGAGGGTGAGAACAGCATGCAGGGGTTAATGCTGTCAGGATTTAACTCAATGTGGACTAGCAAATGTACAGTATCATAAGCGTGTAATATTCTCACCTAGCAGGCGATGTAATGCCTCATTTCATGTATACAAATAAATAAAACATAAATTATAAATAAAATGTTCAGAAGCAAGTGGAGCTAAAATAGGGTAAAATAGGGCTCTCCCCCCCCCCCCCCCCCCCCAAAAAAAACTACAAACCCATATTAGCACCTATAATAAGAGCCTATATTAGCCTAAATTTCTGATATTATTGTAATACTCTCTCGGTACACAAGAGCATCCAGACCCTTCTCTCAGTACATGCCATCTGACCATGTGCACGACATGTCTTTGCAGCTACGACTGGTTTCAGTTAAATACAGACTCTCTGATGTCTGGCGCCCCCTGCTGTTGTCATCAACCATCTTATTTTTATTCTAGTTTTAGTTAGATTTAGTTAATCCATCACTAGTGTATCATACACTATGCATAGTCTGTTTTATTATGTTTTAATTTGTAATATACACACACGTACCCAATATATATATTATATACAATTTATCACAATAATGGTATCAGGGGTTCTTCTGAGGCCTAATGCATGCACATGCTATTTTTTGTTAACAAGCAAAATGTCTGGCCCTTGCCTTTGTATTCATTATCATCCCATAGATAAAAGGTCATCTGTCCCAAAATGTGCAGTGGGTATAGAAGGAAACTATCACCTTTTATAAGTAACTTTTGTTGAATTACACCTTGAGAGTGAAAAAATGTATATAAAGCTCCTTTTTATTTACATACCTACAGTCAGGTACAAATAGAATTCCAAAAAATTATGACAATCGATAAAAATTATAACCATTATAAATACCTTATTTGGAAAAGAGAAACTCCCCTTTTTACATCTGCAGATCTAATCAGGCATAACCAATCAATGAACGCCAAACAAGATAACTGGTGTCCATGTGCGATTAATTATACTCACAGGTGGCGCTGCTTTGTGGGACATTTAAAAAAAAACAAAATCCACTATGAAATGGACACTCAAAAGACTCTCTGAAGTTGTAAAAAGGCATATGTTAAGAAAAGGCAGTAAGAAGATTTCAAAGGCTTTAACGATACTTTGTAACACAGTGAAGACCATCGTCAGGAAGTGTCAGAGATACAGCACCACCCAGACCATGCCTAAATCAGGACATCCCTCCAAACCTGATAACTGAGCAAGATGGAGGCTGGCAACAAAGAGGCCAATGTTACCTTTGAAGGAACAATAGACCTTAACAGCAAGAACTGGTTATTGTTCAAGGTTCAAGATTAAATTTGTTATTGTCATTGTTCAACACAATGACGACACTTCAGTGAGATAGTATACATGTCTGTACAATATGACCAGTACTCCACAATAAAAAGAAATAAGAAACTCACTCTTCAAGAATACAATGCTAAGTCTCGAATCGATTATACTAAAACTACACCTTACAGATGATAGAGGAAAGAGGCTAAAAGATCTGTGGTCAGAGGAGACTAAGTCAACCTTTTTTGTCACAATGTGAAGTGGGACGTCTGATGAAAATCCAACCCACCCCTGAAAGATGCCCATCAGCAGGGAGTGGTGCTTATCACTATCAGGACAGAATGGATGATGGACCTGCTGCTCTCGGCTAGGAAGCTGGAGATACGATTCAGCATGAGAATGAGCCAACAACTCAAAGCAAGTGCAAAAGTGTGAAAATTCTTGGGTGACCTAGACAGAGTCCTGACCTCAATCCAATCGGAAGTCTTTGCAATTGACTTGACTTGACTGAGCTGGCATGATTCTGTAAAAAAGAATGGGAAAATATTTCTCCTTCTAGAGGTGCATAGCTGGGAGGCTCAAGGCTGAACTCAAGCTAAAGGTATGTCCTCTAAGTATCACCCTTACACAAGCCACTTATTCATGTCTTTTATTATTGTCTTATTTTCTTTCAGAAATGTTACATTTCTTTTTTCACTATGATTTGCCAGGTATAATTCATAAATCCATCCATCCATCCATTTTCTGAAACCACTGAATCCCAACTGGGGTCGCGGGGGGACCGGAGCCTATCCTGGGAACAATGGGCGCAGACGGGAACCAACCCTGGGCAGTCACCAACACACCGCAGGGCATGATTCATAAATAAAGGAGATAAAAATGTTATTTTATCACTTGTGCATTTTTGGGCTGTAAGAAAAACAGTTAACAATTTGAAATAAGGTGGTGACATTTACAGTATGTTACAGACGCTCCATCCATCAGACAGCTGCTTAGCCCACTTAGTGGTGGGGTTTTACATTTCTCTTATTCATTAAATAAAGAGGAACTTATATTTACTTATTTAATATAAACTTTAATCTAAAGGGATGTTCATCTGCGGAGATGGATAGTTCAGGCACGTAACGCAATAATCTAGAACAAGATTTTGTTTCAACCAGAAGCCCAATGGTAAAATTACTCTGCCTGCCACAGGAGTTTAATTGGTGACCTTCCAATCACAGCATGACACAATGGTTAGCAGTGTTACTTCACACCTCTAGGACCCGGGTTCGAGTCTCTGCCATGTGTGGGGAGTGTGCATGTTCTCTCTGTGTCACCGTGGGGTTTCCTCTGGGTGCTCCGGTCATCCCCACCCACCCAAGTCCGAAAACATGCTGAGGTTAACTAGAACTTAACTGAATGAAAGGCTCTGGGATAGATTCTCAACCCCTGTTACCATGAATAGGAGAAGCGGTTACAGGGGATGGAAGGATGGATGGATGGACGGTTTGACGGACGGACGGACGGGACAGTCTTATCATCAGCAGAAGGTCCAAGCCCAGAAAGCCCCACATCTCCCCACCCTTGGACAGATTCTTTGTCAAATCACACAACAAGTATATAAAATAAATATCTTTATTTTTGAATAAGTTAAATATTCTTGAAATTAAGCTACATATCAAGCAAATATACATGCAGGATAGAAATCTCATAAGTACTGTGATGTACAGGATCAAGGCGCTTGACCCTGGTGCACAAAATCCAGCAGCTGACTGACTGCCTGGACAGTAATTTGCTGAAGGAATGAACTCTCGTGTTTCTAGGGTGACAAAGAGAGAGCTATAAAAAGCAGAGAAGCCACATGGATTAAAGCAATTACAGCCAGCAGCTAGACAATTCCCAAAGTGGCCTATTTTGTATAATGACTAAATGATGCTGTATAAATAAATGAGTGTTGAAGGCTGGAAAAAAAATCAAAGTCAAAGTAATTATAGTGAAAGCCAAAAAAGCCAAACGAAAGTTTTGGTTGGATAGAACTGATCCTGTCTTCTGTCCAGAATCTGGAAACCTCCTCTTCAGTATCACAGCAGATAACTTTTTAGATGAGTTTCCACCAACTCATGGAGACTTGCTCAGTACTATATTTTTAGCAACCTTTCTTGGCAGATTTGCTCAAACACCCGTGCCGCATAGAGAAACGGACTTTGAATGTTTCTTGAGATTCTTAACAGCACAGAGCAGCATTTCCCAACCCGGTCCTCGGGGATCCACAGACAGTCCATGTTTTCGCTCCCTCCCAGCTCCTGGGAGGGTCTGTGGATCCCCGAGGACGGGGCTGGGAAACGCTGCCGTTGAAGACAGGCCTCTGGCTGAGTGGAGGACATCCGCTCCGCTCTAGTGCCCTGTACCCTGGCCCCAGCTCAGCAAACTGAAACAGGATTTATTACTGTATGGCCCGTGCTTTGTTCCGGTCCATCTTCCGCCAGCCTTAACCTTCCCATCCCTGCTGAGAAGAACCAAGCTGTTCTGGCACCGGCACGCTGGACCGGGAGGCCTTCGAGTAGAGAGGTGTTATGATGGGTCTCTGCCAAACATAACACTGGCAATTTAAGCTCCAGTTTGTTTTCATCTGACCACAACTGCTGCCTGACTAACTATCCAGATTTACAAAAATCTGAGCTAATTTATATTGTGTATATACCATCATTCTCCTCCACAAGCTAAGATTAAACAGCATCACCATGTTTTTCAGCTATTCATGGAAGCTCTCTTTCATTATGCATTTAGTTAAATATAGTGATATGAAATTTTATGCCATCATCTGTATTCAAGGTGTGACTCCCTTTCGTAGCAGAATAATATCACATCGAACTTGCATGAGCCAATGGTAACAACTGAGGTTTAAACCATTAGAATCACACTTGGCAATGCCTGTTTAGTGAGTAAATGAGATGGGAGAAGCCATCTCCATGTAATAATACCAAAAACACAATAACAATAAAATAATAAAGAATAATAACAATAATAATAAACAACAATAAAAATGTATGTTCCTAGATTATACTTCTTTTTATTCCAATACTGTACATAATTAGGTTCCCATGGTAATATTTGTAACATTTTTTCAGTGAAGTTAAAAAAAGGTTTGACTTTAGGTTATCAAAATAATCAAATAATCGATCAATATGAAATCAAAGATCTTCGATGCATCAAATCGCTCCCCCAGTAATCATGTTCCAATCGAATGGCTTTGCAGCCAACGATTTACAGCCCTAATACAGTAAGTTCTAACTGCCGAAAAAATATTACTTCCAATATGAAACACTAAAATGAAGCAATATTTAAACACGGTGACTACAACAAATTTGTCACTAGCTTAGGAATTTGCAGCTCATTTGCATAAATAATACAGCAGGACTGATTAATTCATAGCTCCATACGACACGATGTCACGTCGGCTGCAGCTCCTACAGTGATCATGGACACAATCTGCGGAGGTGTAGCTAGAAATTCTGAGCCCCCTGACAAAATGTCACCCTGCCCCCGCCCAGTAGGATTCCCACTCTCAATGGCACTTTTACCACAACAGTAACCATTTCATGATGAAGGTACGATGCACAAATATAGAAATTAAAACTGTAACTGCATTTCAGGGGATAGGCTTAGGGGGACTCTGAATCTGCCAAGGTATCCATGTCTCTCCTGACACCCCTGACTGACTCCCAAGGTGAAGTTTGTAGGTTCAGGTTACAGAAGGGGAGCTACTGTAGCACCTTCATCAAGGTACGTAACTTGAAGTGCTTTGGTAAGATAACCAACTGTAAGAGCTGATAAAACTATGGATTTCAATTGTAATACAAGCTGAAGAGGCCAATGCATACAGTACAGTACCTTATATACTTAAAATAAATGTGTGCCACAAGTTTACGGGTCCGCTGCACAAAGACGTGATCAAACCCCCACCTGGGTGGTGAATAGCGGGAACTCCTCCGGGAGGATCCAGGAGCGGGGGTAGAAGCTGTACTCCTCGGGGAAGAGCTCCTGCATGGTGCGAACGGCTCGACTCAGGTTGATCTTTCGCAGCATCTCGATCATACCTGCGGCGTGGGGAAAGGAGAGGGCGGTGCATTCTGACATCCCAGCCTGGAGCACGACAATTGACATCTGAACCCAAAGTACGTAGGAACACAAATCTTCTACATTATATGCAGTATAATTCCCATGTCGAAATACGTAAGAGGATGTTTAACACTTGTTGCTTCATACTAAAAAGTGCATGTTTGAAGGGTACAGTATCACCCTCAGAACTGTGGAACATCCACTGATGCAGCAGCTGAATGTCTGTGCAGTCACCTTAGCCCATATTCTGAACACACCCAAAGTTCAGGAACAATTTCCAGTAACTCTGGCCCTGATAGCCGGTAAATTACTTATTTTGCTCAGAAGCTTTCAACTGTGTATCAACAAAATCTCTGTACTGAAGCATTTTCTGGGCTACTTTTGAAGTTTTGCTGGATTTTACATCAATTTTAGATACATTTATTAAGGATGTGAATTTGTATACAATCAATACATCAATGGTTAGTCTTTTGTGTTGTGCTTTGTCAAATACTATCAAGGTGAAAAACACACAAAAACTGAAAGCACAAGTATATGATACTAAAAACTATACATGAGAACCAGTTCTGTTTTCATATATGCAGGTATGCTCATTATACTGTATTAAACATGGTTTAACTTTTGTTTTGGCTTGTGTACTTATTGCAACGTCACACAATTTTTTGGTTTATATGCCAGAGAATTTCACGTCCAAAATAGCAGTTTTTGTAATATTGGGGCAGAAGTGAGTCAAATACATCCAATATCTAAAATCAGACTTTATATTTCTGAACATTTGTGTATCAGTTTTTGCATGCATTGTTTATACTTGATTAGTCATGTCTGTGGAACATCCATGGAAAATACTTCTGCAATGAAAATATAATATTTATGCTGCAGCAGTCTCAGTTTATCAAAAATGATGCATTACTTTTGCGGTTATTAGCACATCTTTATCCCCATTGCATCACCTATTCATCCCTTATTTATTATCTCCCTGTTCTTATGTTGCACTGTCTTGTTCTTTATTGCACTGCTGCTTGTCCTGTAATGCCCTCTTGTTGTCCCCCCCCCAATCCTGTACCCTCCCCTGCAGCTCTGACTATATAACTTGAAACTTGAACTTGACAGAACACCTGCTGCAAGCAACGGCAAAGTTGGTAGCTTTTCTCTAGGTGCCGTGCTGGAACCCAGGGCCAGTTTTTTACAGTGGAGATGCGTGTAGCTAGTTCCGGATTGGGAAAAAGTCTGGCTCCGGCTCCAGAAGCTCGTCGGTGGAAATGGGGCATATGTGGTCCTTTTTGCTTTGCTTTTCTTTTATTCAAATATAAGATCGCAGTGATGCATCCAGACCGCTTCACAACACAGCGAGGTAAAAGGCCGGACCTTACCAGGGAACTTGTTGACTTGGCCTGAGATTATGTTCTCGTTGTCATGGAAGGACACACCGTGCCAGTAAATATCGCAGGCCACACGGCGACCGAGAGGGAACTGCGTGGCAGAAATGGAGAGAAGAGAGCGAGCGTCAGCAGGGGTTACCCTACTCCAGGCCCTTAAGAAAGATCCTAATTAATAAGTAACAGCATTACATCACTAACAATACATAACACTATAGTTGGTCTGAAATGTATATATTTAATGTTATCCTGAAAGTAGGACACATTAAAGTGATACTACCCAGGCAGGCAAAGTTTCAAATATCTGTTTAAACATTCTTAAATTCTCTTACAAAATCCATAAATAACCACTTCATCAACAAACTTGCTCGACGCTGCCTAAACTATCCAACAACACAAAGCACACAATTCTGAGTGTGGACACCATACGCATTCACTCACAACTTTGTCACTGCATGTTGAACTACCTGTAAGCTTTCTGCAAGACTGTAACTATGGTGCACCTTACCCCTTTGAAGTTAACACAGTTTCATTCCATATCAGCCAATCACTTCACATGTAAGGGGATCTCTCTAAATTGTAGGTCTGCAGGTCTGATGGATCATGGCAGATTACAGTTAATCATATAGCCCATACAGTATATTGCATTTACAGTATTAAATAATATATAATTGTGTATATGATCTAATCACACTAGTTCTTGTAACATTTTTAAAATGCCTACTATTTTAAGTTCATGATCTACTGGTATTCACACACAAGAAATATTACACTCTGAATATTTCATAAATTCACATAAATAGTCTTCCCACAAAACCACCAACGTTTCCCTATTCCATCACTGCCAATAAGTAAACTGAGAAGACTGGATTCTCTTAATTAATCCCATATTCTGTCTTGAATCTCACAAATTTCTTCCGATTGCTGAACACCAGCCTGGAGTCCGCATAGTACACATCCCCATCCATCTTCTGTGGTCTTTGTCCCAGACATAAATATGACTATGAATATAGGAGATACAGTAACAGTGGTACATCGTATTTATTTACTAACATGAGACTATAAAACATGACTTGGGGAGCTTAGATTCATACTGTATTTTATTGTGGATTTGACAGCACATCACACATTGTAAAATATAAATGTGTATAAAGTGCTTTGGAAGAAACGAGATCCCACACTGGGTAGTATTACAATGGATCTGTATAGGTGGTGATGAAGGTAATTTCAACGCTGTTAATGCCCTTAACCTCAGTTCTCATGCATATTTAAAAATACTGTACAGGGATAAGTGTCTCCACTTATCAAGGATTACTTGCAGAGTATTTTGTATCACCAGCTGAACAAATGACATCAATAATATGAGCACCAAAGTCAATTAGCTACCTTAAGAATGTCAACAACAGGGTATATTTCAAAGTACAATTAAAAAATACTTAGTTGTCAAATTACAAAAAGTTACAGTGCAATATGAAATGTGGTATTCATGTAAAAAATAGACTAACCCTAGAAGAGTAAATGTGGGTAATAAAGGTGTATGATGAAGTTAAGTTACAGCGTACCTCTTTCCATTTGAGCTGCCTGATGCTGACTTTGAGCGCCTCCAGGGACGTTTTGGCTTTGGAGGTGTCCACCGTCACCGCTCTCCTCTTCCTAGCCACTTTGTTTCCGTCCTCCTTGCCGCGATCGCCCTCCTGGTGGCCGGGCGCCGCCACGCCGTTAGTCTCCGCCCTGCCCTGCAGCGCCTTCCCAGTCCCCTTGACCTGAAGCAGGGTTCCAGGCATCTTCTCCCTGGCGATTTCCGCTGCATGCCCGCCGTCTGAGTCCCGTTTGTTGCCGATGTTTCTATCAGGAGCCCCCTGTGTGCTCCTGCTTTTACTCCTCTGACGGCCGGTAACGGAAGTCTTGGCAACATCACCCCGCCCTCTGAGGGATGCAGTGGCCGGGGAGACGGAGGCAGCCAGGGGGATCGGGACGGTCTCCTCCTCGGCTACTGCATCCTTCTCGCCCCCTTCCCCCGGCGATTTCTTTTGCTCCAGCTCTTCCTTGACTTGCACGTAGTGATCACTCATCACGCAGACCCAGAGAAGGGCGATCGGGTCAGCTGTCAAGTGTCCCACTGGATACAGTGCGACAGACCGACTTTAACGCAGATCTGTCTTATTTAAAGCAGCGATAAAGCTGTCTGATAGGCATTATCAAAGCATAACAGACTACTTTTATATGCAGCTATACGGACTGCACTTTCCATACATGGCACGTCCCGAAACATTTCCACACGTCCCTGAAACTGAGAATACTTTCTTAGCGATCCTGTACACAGTCGGTATACCGGTCAGAAGGACCCTCCGCTCTCGCCTGTTTCCTTGGTGTCTTGCAAGCCATGCAACTCTAAGTCATGTTTATTTAGGATCAAGCTGCTATATGCATTGAAACTAAAAAAAGATAAATTAAAACCATACCCATGCTGCACGTGCGCACTGCTGCCCAACCACAACTCCATAATAAATCCAGCGAATAAAACACCCAGCGGGTGAGTCTCAGTGCTGCGGTGGTTGATGGTGCATAAGCAAACTCGGCAAATGAGCTATCCGCCGTAGCAGGCAAACCTCGCCGCTACATGGCTTCCAAGCGACAAAACTCGTTCATTATTTAAAAGTTTCATTCAACGGTGACTGCCATTTGTTGTTTAAATAAGATCATGTATCCCGTTACTGGAACAGAAGTTGCCGATCGTATTCATCGCTTTGGAGCAGCTGTAGACGCCCACGATTCGACATGCTCGGAAGGAACCTTTATTTTAGGAAAAGCCTCCCGAAAATGCAGCACTTGTGTTTTGCTGTCGTTGGCTACGCAACCGACGGAAGCCTTCGAAGGACAAAATGATCGAATTCTATTCCCAGTGCTAATAAGTGAATCTGCCGCTAGTGCTCTCCAAAAATCCTTGCACTCTTGATAAATAATACTGAACAAACCTATGAGAAAACCGTTGATTATTAGCTTGATCTTACACCTTTCACTTAAGTATTTTTTTTCAAAGAAAATTATGGACTTTAGTTTCCTCAATAAAAACTTACGCTGCATTTTCTGGTAGCATTTCAGCACTCTCACCCTGGATGGTAACAGCAGTCAGTGACTCCTTGCTGCACTCCAAGGCTGACGCCACGTTTTATGTCTTCCATCCATTGCAGATGCTTCTTTCTACACTAGCAACAAAAAAGACACTTTGGTCTTCCTCTTCATCCCCTTCACTGATATATCCCACAATCACAGAACCATCAGCGAAGAGGTGCATCGACAGTGTTGTCCTGGGTCAGGTCTGGACTGGGATTAAAATTCGGCCCGGAATTTAGGCTCCCCCAGAGTAACTTTTGGTGAGTAAGGGGGATAAATTTTGGTACATACTCATTGACCTTGGTGTGCCAGACCCAGTCCAGCCCTGAATCAGGTGCTCTCAAAAACCATAACACATATGCAGTGGTCACTCGGTGAGGTCGTCTGTGATCATCGAGGCAGCCACAGAACCCGCAACCTGCATCACCTACCTACTGCACTAGCTGAGCAGAAACTAAAGCAGTTAGCAGTGAGATACTGTAATAGCGGTAATGCTCGGTGTGTGCAGACGGGATGTCGCGCTTGTTTCTGAAGATAAACAAAAGGCGTACCTTCTATGCATGCTCCTGCCTGCTATCACTAATTAAATAGGTGGATTTAAAATTGTTTGCAAAGTATTAACACTCTGGCTAGACTGTTTCATCTCAGATGTAATCATCCCTGAAAGAGGAGGGGTTTGACCCTCGTGTCCTGGCCAAATTCATACGATTGGACCATTTGAAAATTTGTCCATCCATCCAGCATAGGACACAAGACAGGCGAGCAGCCTGGACAGGATGTCAGTCCATTGCAGGGTGCACACACACATGCACACACTCACACACTCACACACTTTGTGAAATCATGGTATAATCACCCTTAAATGCAACACTAAACATTAGTGGCCGTAGAAGCAACATATAATACACTTTATGAACAATGTAAAGCTGATTGCGAAGGTGAGAAGTGCCATATTAACACATGAAATGATTTACCTCTTTGAATGCATTTCCGTTTTACTGCTGATTTTACTTTCCTTAATCATGCACTGATTGCTGGATGACTCCAAAAGCCCAAAACCACAACCACGAACCAGTACTACTTTAGTGCAGAGGTCAGGTAAAAATCGAGACCCAGATTTTCTTCAACCAACCAGGTGAACATAAAGAGTGACAGACACACTCAACTGGTTGGTTGAAACAAAATCTTGCTCTTGATTTTTACTTTCTGAACCTGAATTATCCAGCTCTGCTTTAGTGTCTGACCACATATTTCATAATATTTAATATAAGCAGACCCCTTGCATAGCCCTGGACTGGTTGTGGGGTCTTTACTTGGCACGCCTCCTTGTCAGGCTGGTGGGCGTTGGTGAGTAGGATCGTCAAGGTCTTCGCTCAAAGCTGTTGTGACGCTCACTTCTCGTCAACTCACAGGTATACCTTTATACCTGTCGCTGGGGTTCGTTCTGGCTTCATGGTTATAAAGGAGGCAGGCGATGTTTATTGGGATATAATCATATATTTACTCTCCGCTTAAAAGTACAAAACTTCCCGGCTCAGCACTACACTTTCACCCCTGCTCCCCGCTCCCGCACCAACTCTCTCCCTCTCTCTCTCTCTCTCTCCTCCGCCTCTCATCTCACCCTTGCGCTCCATCCGCAAGCTCAGAGAAGTAGACCCACTTCCCCATCAACATAACATAGCCAAATTAAACTCTTACACTGTCACCAGCCCGGGTCATGGATGGCCCTATGGGTGCTGAGGAGGTCTTTTCTGATGCTGCATGTCTTTAGCCCCCAGAATTTTTTAGCCCCTCAAATAAATGTGTTTTTATTGGCTTAAGTCATGAATAGCTTTTTATATTATGTATAACTTTGGCATTGCCCCCCTCTAATAAAGACTCCCTATCCATTCCATCCATACCCCAAATTTCCCAGGGGTCCTCCCACTGTACTTAGGGGGCACATGGAGGGGCAGACAGCTGCCTGCTTCCCTGGACCAGTCTCTACCACTCGCAGAGGCTGGCACCTCCAGCACTGTCCGACCAGCCAAGCCTGCTCCGGCCCTGTCCGATTGGCCCAGCCTGCTCCGGCCCTGTCCGATTGGCCCAGCCTGCTCCGGCCCTGTCCGACCGGCCCAGCCTGCTCCGGTGCTGCTCGATTGGCCCAGCCTGCTCCGGCCCTGTCCGATTGGGCCAGCCTGCTCCGGCGCTGTCCGATTGGCCCAGCCTGCTCTGGCCCTGTCCGATTGGCCCAGCCTGCTCCGGTGCTGTCCGATTGGCCCAGCCTGTTCCGGCCCTGTCCGATTGGCCCAGCCTGCTCCGGCGCTGCTCGATTGGCCTAGCCTGTTCCAGCGCTGCCTGATTGGCCCAGCCTGCTCTGGCCAGTGATGGGATTCTTCCTAGAGTCACTGCTGTTTCTTCGAGGCCCCGGCTCCACCTTTCTCATACTGCTAGCCAGCTCTCGTCTGCCATTCGTCTGCCCAGCTATGGTATCCCTGAGATCAGTGTCCAGGAGCTCTGTAACCCAACGCTCCAGGTCACCTTGGGACTGGCTGTCTTCACAACCTGCTTTTCAAAGTCTGATAACAGGTCAAAGATCCCGCTTCTGGCACTAGTTTCACACCTCAGAGAGTATAGAGAGGCAGATGGAATATAAATGGAGGTAAAGATCTGGTGTAGGAATGAAAATAATGTTTTTATTGTCACGAAAAAGAAAATGGCATTGACATACCTTACCACTTCCTTAGTCACAGACTCACCCTCTCACACTTACCAGCTCGCACCCACTCCAACTCATGGTGGCACTATTCTTGCACAGGCAATCAGCTGCAGGGGATGATGGGAAGGCAGCAACTGCGCTTTAAAGTCAACCCAATTGCTTGGTACATTTTGAAGTCACCTAATTGCCACTAGAAGTCATTGTTCTGCGGTTTATCTTAAACCTGTTGCGTATGATTAACAGCAAATATGGCTTAAAGAGAGATGGTCAAAGTTTAAATATATCTAGAAATTAGATATTGTTAATATATATATCTAATTTTTCAACCTATAGATTGTGTTATGTAGGCAACTCAGATTACAGGCAGCCCCCAATTTATGAGTGAGATCTGTTCCCTAAGTCTGTCTTTAAGGTGAATGATTTTATAAGTAAGTTACAGTATAGTAATAATAATATTAATAATAATAATAATAAAAGTAGCTACATACAGTACTGTACTGTGCCTCGAGCTGATGAATCACGGAAGCTGGCCAATGTTTTCACAATTCACAATGCTATTATGAAGCATTGTATTTAACCTGAATTTTTAATATGGCAGGCCGTTCGTGAGTACGAGCTACCCATAAGCCGGACATTCTTAACCTGGGGACTGCCTGTAAACCATATTTTAAATATAAATATATATATTTTTTTTATATATTTTAAATTAAGTTATCTAAAGAAGAAAAGTATTCAGATAAACTGAACATTTTCTTCAACCTTGCATTGTATATGTGCAGAACTATACTGAAGATTTTGTTTGATTATGCCTGTTAAAACAAAAAGTGTTAGACATATCTTACTCCAATCTGCCTGCAACGCCCACCCTGAATAAGCACCGTTCATTTTAGGGGTCAATTTTCAGTCATTGGTTGCTACTCAGATTAATACAGCGAAATATATTAAATGGAGCTAGAATTTGAGTCCAGACATTTTGAAGGAAATGGTTCATAGATAACAATTCCCACTTTGTACTAACAGGCAGCCAGAAATAATACATTTAACTGATGAATATTTTGATATCATTTCAGGGAAAACAAGATAAAGTTAATCTGAAGAAAAAAACTACCTGGAAGATGAAGAGCAGTGAATGAAATAAAACTCTACAAGTCCTGGCTACAAACCAGAAAAAAAATTGCACCACTGGATGGTGACAGACACTAGATTTGTTCCAGTTCTAAAATAAAAATCTGCTGCGTAGTGAGGCTCAGGTTCGGCTGGCAGTCGCTAACCAGAGATACATTTGCATGCAAATTATCCCTATTATGCAAAGTTATTTCACAGGGTAAACAGGAGATGGAGTTTTTTTAATGCATTCAAAGAGATGTAGCACATACAGTACAGTCTAGCTCATCTCTGCTGGTTAATCCATTCACTGCAATTGTGGATGGACCAGCTACATCATCCCTTATACTGTATATATCTTATATCTATATCACATTTTATTTGCTTATTTTGATTCACTCAAAGAATTCACATTCCTAATCAGCCTTTAATGCTCAACAATTGCCAACAACTGTTCAAAAAAATAAATTTTAATTTCATTTGTATAGTGAGTTTTCACATTACATTGTCTCAAGGCGCTTTACATTATCCCCACCCAAAGCCCCCAGTGAGCAAGCCAGAGGAAACAGCCTCCCTAGAAGGAAGAAACCTTGGGAGGAACCAGACCCAAAGGGGCAGCCCGTCCTGCAGGGGGCAGCAGAGGAAGCCTTAACCCTAACCAGACCCAAAGGGGGAGCCCGTCCTCCAGGGGGCAGCAGAGGAAGGCCTAACCCTAACCAGACCCAAAGGGGGAGCCCGTCCTGTAGGGGGCAGCAGAGGAAGCCCTGACCCTAACCAGACCCAAAGGGGGAGTCCGTCCTGTAGGGGGCAGCAGAGGAAGCCCTGACCCTAACCAGACGCAAAGGGGGAGTCCGTCCTGTAGGGGGCAGCAGACTCCACACGGGAAACACACACAGACTGCATAAGTCTCAACATTCTAGACCATCGGTTCTTAAATCAGTCACTGCAAACCTCAGGTCATTCATCCATCCATCCATCTCCCATAATGTTTAGGGGTGTTGCATGGCTCTGTGGGTTAGGAACTCTGGTTCAAGTGCCGTGGCCGGCAGAATGATGCCATCATTGGGCCCTTAAGTGGGGCCCTTTCCCAAATTGCTCCTGGGGTGCTGGACACTGGCCGACCCAGTGCTGTGACCCCCGAACTTACTCTGACCTGTATATGTGTCTGTGTGTCTCATGGAGAGTAAGACGGGACAGGAAAAAAAGACAGTTACGCCACAAGCATGAATTAAGTGTCACTATTCTATTATTCCGCACAAGGTCAAGGCGGCCCTACCCCAGAAAACAAGAGCCCAAGGCAGGGCCCACTCAGTATGGAAAGCCAGTCCATCCTATATTCAGGGTGACTTACTTATATACAGCACAACTTTCCAACATAGTTGCCCTGAAATGCTTAATAAAGATTCAGCAAAAACTGCATCATAAATTAGCACAACAATTAAGGCGATACAAAATGAAAGTGTATACAGGTATGTTTGTGTTGTTTGTACCGAAGTTACACGCATCTTGGTTATTTTTGTTCAGCTCTGTTTTGGACAGGCAGTGATTATCAGCTGAGCAGCTAATTGTGCTGTATATTAAAACATGGCTGTACTACAGTATAATATAAAGTTCCATTCTGAACGCATTCAGCAAAACAACATGCCCCTGACACGACTGGTCTACAAATTTTTCTGCTTGTATGTTGCTACTTGCATTCATAGTGGCTTTTTGCAGGAGATCTTTATGTGATATTACGTGCTGGATTTTGTCCAGAGATGGTTAGCAGAAGCAGGAGAAAGTGATGAAATCTGATTTTAATACATATTTAGCGAGAAATGGCCGTCCAGACAGGACCAGAGTCATTTCTTTCAGTTGCGAATTGATCTTTTTCAGCTGGTCAGTGAGGGATGCTTCTCGATGCGCTAAAATTACCAGAGAGCAGTTACGCAGATTTTCACAGCTTCCTCTTAACTTGATTATTTTGCGACATGGACCTTATGCGCAGCGCGTGGCCGTTTGGTACCTAAGTGTGTATTTCATTTGGGAGAGCTGATTGGTTGGAGGCAGTTCCTTGTAATGAATCATCAATTTATCACCCATTTGTATTTGAAATGAGCAAAAATGTCGACCCTTTAAAGTCCCTTATGATCCTTTCTGAATTCCAAATGCAGTGTTTTATATGTGTGAAGATGAGTCCTGGGGACAGATATCTATAATTCACGAGCTCTTTCCAGCTGCTCAGGATACGCATTGTATTAATGCCTTTGTTGTTCCTTTATTCCTGCAGTGTTACAGCGATTATCAAACATTATGCATCATTCTTCTCTTTTCAACAAATAAATGCATTCGTTTGGTTCCATTTAGTGTATCACTGAATGTATTTCCCACTGACAAAAATATTAATGGTTAAACTGTTAATTTTTCAGTAACAATCTTATCTGGGACAAAAATAAATTTGTAGGATTTTATAAAAGATTCTTTTCAATGGTGAATCTCATCTTAGCGCCTTTGTCAACAGACTGGATCGAAAGTTTTCTTTAATCAAAAGGAGTTTAAGTTCCACTTTGTTCCAACAGAGGGAGCTCGTTGTTACCGTTCGTTCTCTCTAGTAGCGCTTGCTTGTGATTTTTGTTTATTTCATAGAAATTCAACCCGTAAGACCATATTACTGCATACTATACAAAAATAGTTTGAAAATGAATAAAAGCCATTTATCTTTATTTTAAAAACGATTTGGGCGTATTACAATAAGTGATTCCCAGTACATTATTTATGAAATATCAATTTATCCGTAAATGGATAATTAAACACTTAGATCGGTCTGCCTTGCTCTTAAGCATTTCTTGTTTCACCAAAATAGAAGACTTTGGCGCATTGGGCAAATTGCATTACAGTATAAACATCGATAGCATTCAAACATAATTAAATAACTTCCAATAACGTAGAAGATATCTCTGTCCCAGTGTACCCTGGATATCTCTCTCCCATGCTACATTATCTGATTGAGAAGTCCTGATCAGGTCAGGGAAGCTGAACGAAATGAATGCAGTGCAGTGACCTGCTGGCACCGGGAAGGCACCCTGACTTTAAAATACCACACTCGTGCCATTCAGCCAGTACTTCATCATGTGATATAACTTTACCCCAATCGGAGAGCCTGATGAGCAGATCCGCTGCTGATGGTGAATTGCACATGTCCCTCTGGCCATCCACAAGCTCCAAAGCAGTATTTGCACACTGATGGTATGCAACGTGTCTCTTCCGCAGTTTCGGAAACCCGGGAACGCAAGAACTGGGGCTTGCAAAAGGAGATCTGGTCTGCGTATGAACGGCAAAACAGGCTCACACGCTGGGAATAATAGGAAAATCAGGCGCCCGATCCGATCCTTCCTGACTGGGTTCCTCATTCGGGACCGATGGCGATAAGGGACAGTGCGGCTTTGGAGCGGTCCTAAGTCTGCAGCTTTGGTAGGGGAGACGTGGATACTATGCTCTAATCGATTTCTGCTTGGAAGTACAGCGGCTCAAGTGCTACCTGTGACTGGCATCGCACGTCTGTTCAAAATACTGTAATAAGAAAAATGCCGGTGCGAAACCGATACAACTTGGTGGATGATATCGGGGACTCGCGGGTTCCGCTTCACAACGAAGAGGCATACCAGCATGGGATTAATTTTCAAGCTAAGGTGACTTTTACATTTTTTACATTAATTTTGGTATAGTCTATTTCAAATATGTGTTTATTTCCTGATTGTTTCGGGATGTGCTCGGATTTGCCTATAATGTACTGTAATAGTGCCATTGTGGGACCTTTGGAGCGCTTCCCTCACTTGAGCGGGACGCAGTATTTCAAAGCCACAGGTAACACTGGCAGGGATTTACCAGGATAAACTACGGGAAACTGTTTCACGATACCTTAAAAGTAACACAACTCACAGCTTTAATAAATCTACAATGACATTTGTTATCAGTATGCAAACAATATTGTCTCAAATTTAGCTATTTTTTACAATACTGTTATGAAATATATATATCGGTTTCTTTAAGAAACACACAGTTGAACTTTGCTTTCATTTTCTGTTTTCATTTTAATTAGCATCATGAAGTAGTAACATTTGTAAAAATTCATTCAAGTCAATGTATTCTATCAGATGAACGCAGTTGAACTATTTTGGCAAAGGGATCGAGAGGGCAGGATTATCAGGACTCTTTCACAACGTTTCTGTAATTTAGTTGAATGAGGAACAGAAGGGTTTTCTTTGCGTCTCTGTTAGGCAATACTGTTACATTTAGTTTAGTTGTAACTAAAATTAACATGGTTATTTTGTTGCATTGTCATGTTTTCAAATGTTACCTGTATTAATTAGGGAAATAGTTTGGTGTATCTAAATACTTATCTTTGACACCAGCAAAATTTCTCTTTGATACTATCCATTAACATTTAGCCACTCTCAGAACTGCACAGCTGAGACAGGCTTACTGGATTGTGCTTAAAACAATACGTACTATTAGTGGTCATCATTGCGCTCTGCATCTAAATGGCGATACAGTGTTTGTTGCTTGAGTATAGCAGTTAGTGACCTAACTGGAACGACGCAATAAATTTAATTGAGTTTAAGTAATATAACATGCATGCAAAGCAAAGATTTGTGTAGCTTTTAATGGTTTGTATGCCGTTCCTGTTTGCTTTAACTTTCAACAAGAAACATAGGCCTACTCAATGTAATGCACGAGACTGGCATCACTATACGCTGCAAGCAGTGGCAAGAAAAATAATTCATGGTTGGAAAACAAGAGACAGCGTTTTAAAACAATGAGTTTCTCGATGGAATACCTTGCTGAACAATTACGAAGTGTAAGTAGTGCCCAGCTGAACAGTTTGCATGGACTTTTATTTTGAAAGGAAATTAATATTCTTCCTTACTAATTTACTAACTCTTCAAGATTAGTAAAACATGACAGACAGGTTGTTTGCGACTTGTTATTATTTATCTAAACGTTTCCGTATTCTAAAATTTAAATCCCAAACTGGAAATTCATTTTTTATGTAAATATCATGATCTGGCAAAAATTAATAAGGACAGTGCGGTCATCTGCTCTGCCAGTTAATTTAAATATAAATGTTTTGGGCATATCTTTTTATCAGCAGAATACATAACTCTATTCATCCTTCAGCACTTTAGGACTTAAACATCTGATCAGTATCTGTTTGATCAGTATCTGTCTTTCCTTTACCTCTCCTGTACTTCACAGTTTTATGCTCTGTGAACCATATTGAGCATCAGAATATTGCAGTGATCTTTATCTACTTGGTTTTGTATGGTATGTTATGCTGGTATCATAACATCAGTCTTACTTGCTAAGTGGGAACTTTCACATGCTGTGGTTCTCAGATAGACTGAATTTTTTTGACATCTTTGTGTTTTTAGGATGCCTTGTAATGACCTTTGTCACTCTACTTTGCAGTACGTGGGCAGCTTGGATGTCCCTCGACCCAACAGTCGCATGGAGATCGTCGCGGCCATGAGGCGTATCAGGGTAAGTTAGGGATACAACGGCAGAAGCGACAGTGGGGGCCAGTTGCCAAGGGGTCTCCCCAACATACTGTCGCTGTCTGATGAGAAACACGTATCTCCAAAATTCTATTATTTCAGGAGCATAAAACAACACATTTTCTGAGAGAGTTCTTTACAAAACAAACCCAAAACAACACAATGAGGAATCCTTAGCATCACAGACAGAAACCTGCCTTCACACAGCTGTCAGTGGACGGTTAGCATGGATTTCTATGGACTGTTGTCAGTGAGGCAGATATGCCGGAGTCAACAACATACAAACTAATCCTGCTTTATATTCACAGTTAATAACGATGTCAGTTAGCTAGATATCTAACTATCAATGTTAAGTTGTTAAAATTAGCAATATAAAAGACCATCATGAATACATATGTGAACTAGTACAAACATAAATAAATAGCAATAAAGTCGCAATTATCAAAAAGTGGACATATCTGGTTTTCTTCAGACTGCGACAGTATTCCACTGCATCACTTTCTGGAACTTCTGGCCAGTGTGGCACCATCCTGTGCTAGCGTAGGATGTGATATCATGCGGCACTTCCATCAGTTTAGAAGCTAGAGGGCCTGCTAGTAAGTTAGCAAACTCGTGACACCCCCAGCTTGCTAAACGGTGGGGTCACGTATCAGGGCTAATAAAAAATTAAATGTTAGTGAAATTTGTAGTTTGAACCACATGTCTTTGATACTAGAGCACTTAGTATGAGAGTGGAAAGGTTCAGTTTAAGGTGGCATAAAATGACACAAAAAGCAGCTGGAAGTTAATGTGACGTAACATAGGAATTCCAAGCCAACCTAGCTCATGACGTCACATCCTACGCCAGGACAAGGGGCCGATACACATGCCTGAAAAATGTTACCTGAATTAATTATTATTTTTAGCCCAGTTTCACCAACAGTGTTAAACCTAAAAGGATTTTTAGAGTGGGCATCCATTTTATAAATGATAGTGTTTCATGTCCACCTTAAAGGAGGGACCTACTGCAGCTGCAGCAGCCAGCTCTCTCTGAAGGAGCCTCCTTTGCTGTTAGCCCTAAGTAACCGGCCTCTGAGAGATGGGTTCCTTTTTCTGAATAACAAAGTGACTTTATTTTAGGAGACTGCTGCTGTACTGGACTGCGGGGGGGACTGACAGTAAAGGTCATGGCTTTGGCAGTCATTCACTGGGCAGAGAGTGTGCGCTACCTCCGGCCCCTCACTGTTATCAGAGGCACAGATCTCACTGTTATCAGAGGAACAGATCTCACTGTTATCAGAGGCACAGATCTCACTGTTATCAGAGGTACAGAGCTCTCAGAAGGGTACTGTTGCTTTTAATTAAATGGAATTCAGTGCATGATTGGTTCACATTGCTCATGTTAATTTCAGGACACTATATCAGAGATTGCAGCTGGTGGGTAATCTGCAATTCAACATTGCTCAGCTAAAATATGGCTGTTATTAAGTTGACTTGTTCTAATTAATGAAATGATAATGAGATTTAACTATTAAGCGTGGAGTTCCTGATGGACTGATAGGGGCAACAACTTAAAGTCAGTTGCATTTTGGGAATTTGTGTGAATGACAAGGCTTTAATGTCAAATTAATGTACATAATCGATACTACTTGTTGATTGTGGCTTTAGGAGGTTCAAAATACAGTATTGTGTTGTCGTTACGGAGCGAACCATGTGTGCTTCAACATGATATTACTTGCATTGCAGAATCTCTAAAGCACTATTGATCACTCAGTTACCTCTGGAAGGAAGCTGATCCAATTTACTAGTTGACAGCAACTTTTGCTGAATCGCCACTCAAAGGTGTCGCACACTCTCTGGTACACATTAAGTCTTGTATGCTTGAAGTTTGGATCGTAATTTTATGCCTTCAGTCATCAGATTACCCTTAAATCCAGAATCCGCATACCTGAGCTAATCTGCGACTTTGTTGTTTCTTTACATATTTTCCTGCCTCATTTTCTTTTGACTGTCACGATGGCTTATAAAAGTTCAGTTTTGAAAGCTGCAATTAAAAGATTTTGTGTACCTTTACAAGCTCGAACCTGTGTTCAGTTATCCTAAAATTATTTGAAACAGTTGATTATTTACTTGGTAGCTGCTTCTTCATGGATAATCTGTAGCTTTCCACCAGGGATCGGCCTGCCACTCTGCTCACAGTAAGGAGTTGCAAGATGAATCGATGGGTTGCTTATCATTTTTAATATATAATATGTTTTAGTATGATTATATTACTACAGCAATCCAGCAATAGTAACTATACAGTAAGAACCACGGCGAAATCTCAAGTGGGATGTTAAATTTGGTCATTTTCGTATAGCTGTTTCTGTATCAGGGGTGACAGGTGTTAATAGCGTGTTAATGGGGGAATGTAAGAGGTGTGGCTCGGCTTTCGCTTTTTTCCTATCCACATATATATGATCAATAGGGGCTTTTGTCAGACTTCACTCCTCCCAGGTATTTTGCCTTTCTCACCTTTCGTAGGCGCTTTAATGAAAAGTGCAGTAGCCCACTGAGACAGGTCAGGTTGCTTAGCATTTTCGGCTAAGTGACTCAGAGGAGCCAGCGGGACGACACTGTTGCCAGCAGCCCCTTAGCCGCTAGGCTACACCCTGAACTAGCCCCTTAGCTGCAAGGCTATGCCCTGAACCAGCCCCTTAGTCACTAGGCTAGACCCTGAACCAGCCCCTTAGTCACTAGGCTATGCCCTGAACCAGCCCCTTAGCCGCTAGGCTACTCCCTGAACCAGCCCCTTATTCACTAGGCTAGACCCTGAACCAGCCCCTTAGCTGCAAGGCTATGCCCTGAACCAGCCCCTTAGCCGCTAGGCTACTCCCTGAACCAGCCCCTTAGCTGCTAGGCTACTCCCTGAACCAGCCCCTTAGCCACTAGGCTACGCCCTGAACCAGCCCCTTAGCTGCTAGGCTACTCCCTGAACCAGCCCCTTAGCCGCTAGGCTACTCCCTGAACCAGCCCCATAGCCGCTAAGCTATGCCCTGAACCAGCCCCTTAGCTGCTAGGCTACTCCCTGAACCAGCCCCATAGCCGCTAAGCTATGCCCTGAACCAGCCCCTTAGCCACTAGGCTACTCCCTGAACCAGCCCCATAGCCGCTACTTCCTGAACCAGCCCCTTAGCCGTTAGGCTACTCCCTGAACCAGGCCATTAGCTGCTAGGCTACACCCTGAACCAGCCCCTGCTCAGACAGGTCGCTGTGCTTCCTAAGCCAGTCTAACAATAGCTCTCAGTGAGATGGCACCGGAGGGCTCCCACCCCCCCTCTTTTTGCAGGTTTGTAGAGAAATGAGCCCTTTGGAAAAGTCACACCAAAAAAAAAAAAAAGGCAGAGATATTTTTGGACCAGAAAAATTAGTCCAACCCATGGAAACTAGGTCTTTAGAACAGTGATGTGGACTGGGAGCGCGTCTGAGGATGCATGCAAAGCTCATGTAGCAATCCCTGTAACAATTCATGAACACAACAAGGAAGATAGCTTATTAACACTGCTAGTAGCTCTTAATATGATCAATTTAATTTGCGGAAGGGGTAGCAAGAAAGGTCATGATTTTCTAGTACGACATGTTGATGTGGTAGGTGACAGGACTCTGTGCCATTCAGTTGTGTCTGTGGTTTATAGTTGTGTTTTATAAGCTTGGGGAATCGCATGAAATTTGCATGATTCTTTACATGGTTATGTAACTCTGTCTTGGTGCTTTATTAAGTGCTCTCTCTCAGGTAGCAGATTAGCTGTTTGGAGATGTTGGCACCTGGCATTGCTTAGGCAGATCACTGAGCAGAATGACGCTGCCAAAGCTGCCCAGGGCCAATTGAAAGGACGCGTCTTAGCGGTCCCAGCCCACCTGGGGCCACTGCTCAGTGCCAACACATAGCTCTCATTACGGTAAAAACTGGGGCGATGCTATATTATCTATAATACAGGTCACATCATTTGATTCTCAAAATGTTCTATGTCTTTGCTAAGATGAGCACAAAAAGCTGCTCTGGCTCCCCTTCTTTCTATCCTTGAGCAGACTGCTGGCTTGATGGATATTGAAGGATCTAGGCAGCTGCACTGTTGCAGCTATTTTTGGAGGATAACAGGTAGGTTTGTAACAAAATCGTAGTTGTAAAACATTGTGCTGGGGGCCAGACCAGATAGGCACTTTCAGGGTCTGACATTTAGGTTTGACACTAAAACCATACCCCAGTCTATTGGTGAACGTTGATGTGTAATAAGCAGTAATAATTGAGGTTTTTTTTTTTAACTGCCGTATCATTTGTCTGCATCCATCCATCCATCAATCTATCCACTTACTTGCTGCTTATCAAGAATAGGATCTGTGGGCTACCCTAGGAAACAGAGGGCATGGAGCAGAAGACACACTATCCATCACAGGACACACACACATGACCACACACTATGGAGACATAGTACAGAGAATCCAACCAATCTAACCACATCTTTGTGGGGGGGGGGCAGGCAAAAATGGATATGAATGATCAACAGCCCAGGAGGTCTGAGGACAAAGTGCTACCAACTAACCATTCATATGTCACATTCAAGTAAATTGTTGTGTTATGTGACACAAAATGTCATTCAGATAATACCATTATCGATTTCAGATTTCATCTTGCTTTCATGTTCTTTATGTCGATACAGATCTTGAAGCACAATGTGGAGTGTACAGTATATTAGATAGTCCACAGGAAACCTGAGTATGAGTTTTTGTTATGTTTTGTATGAAAACTCTGCTTGGAGAAAACATTCTTACCACCACTGACTGGGGAGGACGGAACCTTCCGGAAACACTGGTCCATACTGGCGATTAGAAAGCATGCTTAGATGATCTGCTGTTATTAGGATACATTCTGGCACTATTGGGGTGATGCTGTCCCTGAACCTTGTTAGCTTCACTTTAAAGTAGCCAAAACACAGACAGATTTGCATATCCATGTGAATAAGAACTGTG